GAATAGCAATCTCAACCGAAAATTGCATAAACCCTAAATTGTCACTAATCTCCAAATTAATGATCCAGAAAGCTTCTAGCAATGATCTACAATGCATCTATCCTATCAAAACTTAGCCAAACTACCTGGATCATGCTACACGATGAGAATTACATACCTGCAAAACTTGAATGCACAGAGCACTGAAACCTTCAAATTAACCTCCAAGAATCTCCAGATACCTTCACTTACACCAAAGGAAGCTTCTGTATGCAACAAATTGGATTGAAACTCCCTGAATTCTTGAATTCGATTCTGACTTGCAAGCTATGAATTCAAGGTGCTCTCTCACGATTTGGCTATGATCTTGGCTCAAATTCTATCTGGAATCACTCATACACTCTAGAGGAAGATGTTGAAAGCAAGAATTTGGATGGAAATGGATCAAAAGTGTGTAACCGAATTTGGTTTGCAAGAAGAAAATTCAGAACTCAATCTCTCTTTTCTCTCCCAATTCTCACCAACCTTGGCCTTGGACCAGCTCTAGAGCTTATATAGAACCAGTGGGAATGGTCTAGAAGTTCCTAGAACCATCTATATGAGATATCCAATATCTCTTGCTTTTGAATTTCTCATCTCATGCTCATCCATGGCAGCCCTGCTTGCAGCTTGTTTTTCCCCTTGATCATGATTCAATTTCTCCTCAAATGAGATTCTGAATGCATTTGGATGGATTGGAGCATTGGTCTTGCACTTGTGCATAGTTTGGTTTATGTAACTTACATCATAAGCAATCAAATGCAAATCTTTGAATGGGGCCTCAAATGAAAAAACCAACATTGCCATTGTCTTTAAAATGCATTTTACAATCAAAATGACCTATAAGTTTGTCTGATTTGGTCACCAAATGAATTATTTGAATTTTTGACCATTAAATCCTTTTAATTCTTCTTTTTTCAAAGTTTCTTGAACCAAGTCTCTCCTTGAGCCATTTCAATGCCTCCTTGATGCATAGTCAAGGTTAAAACCCCATTTTGAGCAACTTTCTAGTTGAACAAAACTTCATTTGAAGCCTCTAAGTTGGTGAAAATGGCCTATGATCACAAATGACCTATAATCACCAAATGTCCAAAATACCCTTGACTTGTCAAAGCCATAACTTGAGTTATAAAAATCCTATCAAGGACTTCTAGTACTCTCTAGAAATCTAAGAGGATAAGGAACAACATTCATGTTGACCAAAAGTTCATAGGAATCATCCTTTTTGGGAAAAAGTTTCATGCAAGTTGGGTAACTTTCAAGCTCCAAATTCACATTCCTCAGATGACTTGTAACTTGTCAAAGTCATAACTTGAGTTCTACAAATCCTATAAAAGACTTCTAGCACTCAAATTAAATCTAAGACCATTCTCTACAACAATCATGTTGGGGGCAAGATGAGATGACAATCATATCTTGAGCTAAACTGCCTTGAAGATATGAGTCAAACTAGGGGATTTTACACTATCAAGCCTTAGAAACCCTAGCTTGAAACTTCTCAAACTCTTCAATCATGATGAGTTGACCTTGGAATCATCCTCATCACATCTCAATGCATCAATCCATGATCACATGGCTCTTGGATTAGGTCTCAACCTTCTTTAAATCATCAGTTGACTTAGGGTTGACCCAGTCAAACCCTAACTGCACCACTCATGGATGAGGCTTCTTAATCTTGCACAATGACCTGTCTAGGCATCAAAGTGATCTTCAAAACTTCTCATGAGCTCTCTCAAGAACTCAAGTCCATCCTCATGGCTTCAGAATCATCTGAGGGCTCTCCACAACTCTCAAGTTAGGAGGCACACCCTCTTGGTTTCAACCACTCTCTCTGAGGATCCTCTAACTTCTCTGACAAGGATATCAACCCTTGGGCACTTGAATAACCTTCTTAGCTAGCTTCAAACTCTTGTGTAGCCTTTTATTGGTAATCATACCTCTTGATCTCCTGCATACATGTCAATGAAATGCAAATGATAATGCTAATGTGAATGAAATGAAACACAAGCTAGGTAAAGAAATGTTGGGCAAATTTTGGGGTGCAACAGTAGGCACGAGATGCGATGTCTTCGCGAGCATACTTTAGCAAACTTTATACATACTTTATACTTTATATCTTTACCCTTAGCACTTTTATTTTAGCAAGCAAACTTTAGCAAACACAAATATTAACAAGAGGTTCCTGTAGAGTACTACAGATGTTTAGGATGTGAAATACCTACCCTAGGCATAACCAACCCCCGAATCTTTAAATCTCTCTTTGCTTAGCTTTAATCTTTGTTTTTGCTTTGCATTTTAACAGGTTTTTATTTCTTTAAACCTTTCCTTTTTGGATAAATTAAAGTCCGGTTGTGAATTTAAGAATTAAAGATTCAAGTTAATCAATAGCTTGATATCACGATTCTCACTGCAACAATGACAACGACTACTTAAGCACAAACCTAGGTTATTAAACCAGTAATAAAAAATAAACTCTTGAAAACAACGTAACCCTACTTAAACCAACTCCACGAACATTATTTAATAGCACACACAACGTCTTCGACTAGAAACAACTTACCTTTAAAAATAGACTTGTTCCTACCATTCCAAATTATCCAAATCGTAGCAATCCAAATGACCGCCCCTGCATTATTCCCAACCTTCCTCCTTATCAAACAACCAAACCTGTCAAACCAGTTTACACAATCGGCACCCAATTGCACTTCAATTCCCAACCACCTAGCCACTGCTTCCCAAATGCCCATTGAGACCTGGCAGAATAAGAAAAAGTGTGATATATTCTCAGCACCAGTTCTGCATAGAACACAAGAATGATCTGTTACAACACCGCCCAACCCTCTCTTTAGTAATTGATCCTTAGTAGGAAAACAATTCAAGAATAATCTCTAAGAAAATATCATAAATTTAGATGGAATTTTAAGCTTCCAAAGGCAATCAAAGACGCTTGAACTTCTTCCGCCACAGTACCTTCTTGGCGCACCTGCATCAGTAGCGCATAACAACTAGAGACCGAAAAAAATTTCGCATCCGAAGAACCCCAAGAAAAACAATCCACTTTATCTTGCACAAGCTTGAAACCGTCCAAGAGGAGAAGAATATCCTTCTCCTTTAGTAGCAAAGAATCTGCTGGAAGAGAAGGGAGAAAATCCTTCCATCTCCACCCGGAATCAAACCACTCCCCGACCTTCTCTATCGACGACTTAGGATTAAATGCTAATGCAAACAAATTAGGAAAATCCTCTCTCAGACTCGAATCTGACAACCACCTCAAAAACCAAAACGAAGAGTTCCAACCATTTCCAATAACACAATTCACATTGCCACAGAAAAAATCAGATTGTGAGAACTTGTCAAAGCAAGTAGACGATAAGTCTCTCCACCAAATCTAGCTAGATTTTCCTCCTCCATAGTTTCCTGATGCAAAAACCGTGACTCCCATACTAGTGTTAGCGTATCTGTGGTCAATTAAACATTTCCAAAGAGCTGATTCTTCCGACAAAAACCTCCATTTTCATTTGAGAATAAGAGAACAATTAAACACAAATATGTCCTTAATTCCCAGACTCCCTTCCTTTGTCTTGTGATTAACAAATATATCTAAAAGAACTATCATATTTCATCATGTTATGACACATACAATAATTATGTTATGATAATCACCGTCAATTTTAATTGACTCCCACACACAGATGTACTATATTATTATTGAATATTGTAACAAACTTTTCAATTCTTCTAATCTTTTAGCCGCCTTGAATGTCTTTGTCTAACAAACAGATCAAGCTCTTCTCAAGACGCTTGAAAGTCTCGGTGTTCCAAATTCAGATCTTAATCGGAGACTTTACTGTCAAATAAAAAAGATTAACATTTTTTTTTAAGGATATAAGACATTTTGAAAAAAAAATTTAAGAATAAAATGAGAAGATGAGTGGCAAAATGGTGTAGAGTGAGTTACTTATTTATTTTAAAAAAAAACATTACAACATAGACGTCAGGGGAAGGACGCCTCATCTTAGGTTAACATACATGCATGCGCCAGAGGGAATGACACATCATATTAAGGCAGCATTGCATGCGCCATAGGACATGACGCCTGGATATTGCATGCGCCAATGAATATGACGTTTGAAGTCATTTTTAAATGAATGTGCCAGTAATAGCGATGCATCCTTTTACGTACGGATTTTTTATTTATTTCAAACATGAATATTTTAATATATAATTTAAAATATTAATTATTTAAATATTTAATTTGAAAAATATGCTTATTTAAAAAATATCTCATTTCAATCTATATCAACAGTTTTCTTCTTAATTAAAAATAATACATTAGTTTTCATTATAATATAAAAAAAAAAAAAAAAAACTTTCAAGAACGATCTCATTCAACAATAAATACTAACAAAATTTGATTCAATTGCAAATAACTCAACTTATATTTTCCTCAAACTTGAATTCGAATCTAACTAACATAACAAATTTGTTAGTAAATGATATAAAAAAAAATATTTCTATCAGATTATTCTCGAAGCCTCGAGCAACCCTTGTCAGTTCATGACCAGATTCAACTAAATCCAATTATTTTACCGAAGATCTTGGTTAGGATGGGAAGGCACAGTCAAAATAAGAAAGCCCTAGACACATCTTCAGATTCCAAATGATTCTTCCCATTTGAAAACACCACTTTTACCCAAGCCAAACACCAAATCAATCATTATCATCAATATCTAAACTTTGAGCAATCTAGTAATTTTAACTGACCCTAGAATTTCCTGAGTTAGCATTTCTGTACCTTTTTTGATCATGTTCCTCTCTGTCTTACTGCTCGTTTTGCCAGTCTATCTCTTATGGTCACTATTTCACCACAACACCACTTTATCTTTATCTTTTCACAATCTCACTTTATTTTTATTTTTTTATCTTAAATAAATATATACTCTCTTCCCTTCAAACTTGTTTACATAACTCAAAAGAGGAGAATGAGTTACACCAAACTCCCAAAAGTACTCTTCATTCTCTTCACCTTAATTCTTGCAGCTAAAGTTATACAAGGTCTAGTCATGTCATATTTTTTCTTTATTATAAACTTCCAATGAATTCTCACTTTTTTCTTAGTCTTTATACACTTCTTTCTTCTTTCTTTATTCACTTCTCTTGGATTCTTCTTATTATCATATTTCATTCTATTTTCAATTGTGGATAGTTTGGTGCATCTATTATTGGTATTCTTTCATATGAACATAGATGTGATACCTTATTTTATTGAGTATATTTTTTCTATATGTTATTCTCCTTCCATAATAAAATAAAATATTATTCCTTATTTAATTTTATATATATATATATATATATATATATATATATATATATATATATATATATATATATATATATATATATATATATATATATATATATATATATATATATATATATATATATATATATATATATATATATATATATATATATATATATATATATATATATATATATATATATAATTCTCTCTCCATAATAAAGTAGAATAAGATGTAAAAATTGATATATCTATGTTAATTTTTATTATAGAAATTAAATGTATGTTCGAAATATAGGTGAATTTGTCAAAATTGTGATAATATTAGAATCTTGTTAAATTTTAAAAATTATAATATAACGATGTAATTCTGGCAAACTCATTAATTCTAAATAAATTTTAAATATGTACTAATTTTTCAAAATCACATCTCTCAATTAGCAACTTTTCAATCATTTTTGTCCATTTGAATATTCAAATTTTATAGATAAAAATAATATATGCTCAATTTCTTGATGTATATGAAATTCAACTTGTAACATTTCTTTTTGCAGGAATTGAAACAAAAGGGTGGATATCTCAATCCTCACAACCTCAAAGAGATTCAAGTTTAAAGGTGAACCAAACAAATGAATTATTACAAATTTGAATAACTTTTTTGGTATGTTTTATTTTCTTTATACACATAAATTTATGCATGAAATATGTATATCTATGATTCTCAGGGTAGCAAGAATGAAGCATGGAAAACAAGAAATTCTAGGAGATTGATGATTGGATCCACAACACCAACTTGTACTTACAATGAATGTAGAGGATGCAGATATAAATGCAGAGCTGAGCAAGTTCCTGTTGAAGGAAATGACCCAATTAATAGCCCTTATCACTACATATGTGTTTGTCATAGATGATATAATTTATATATAGTATGAAAATTGTCAGTAATGGATTATATCATTTAGTTTTAATGTTAATTTTGTGCTCTAGTAGGTTTGAGTTTTATTTACAATTTTCAGCCCTCCTTCCAATTCTAGCAGATGTTAGTGCTTGTGCTGAAAGAAGGTTCAAAATTTTGGATTTTGCTATGTTTCATTCAAATATAATAATGAGATGGCTATTTGTTATGTGTTTTTTTATAAGCCAAAAGTATATTAATGAATGAGTATATGTTATGTTTCATTTTCAGATTATTATCCTCAAAGTCATGTTTCAAATTGTCATATATTTACTTCTGTTCTTTTTTACTAATGTAGCTAAAGTTATTGTGAAAAATATCAGTTTTTTATGTTAATATATTGGTATATCACTACCCAAAAAAATGGTTATTTTGCTAGGGTCTATTAGGGGTTTTGACAGGGCAAAACCTCTTGGATTGAAAAGTTATAGAGACAAGAGGAAAATCCCTTGAATTTCAAAATTTTAAAAAATGATAGGGGTTACTCCTCACAAAAGTCTTGAGGAAAGAATTTTAAAATTTGATATCTGCAATATAAGGTAATTTCTCGAAACTTACCAAATTCAAAATTTGAATTTTCTAAATGTGATGGATTACCCTTCGGACAAAGAACGATGGAAATAAAATAAAAAAAATAATTATTTTTATATAAGTGTATTTGAGGGGTTGTCCTTCACAATTTTGAAAAGATAAAGTATCTGAGGGATTACCCAACCCCTCGAAAAATATAATCATTTTGAGGTAATATTTGAATATGTTGGCATCTCTACATTACCCGTGTTTTTAATCATCTGAAAGGGTACAAGGGTAAAATCCCTTCAAATAAAATGTGCAATATGTGACACTCCCTTTCTAAAATTCATTCATTTCTTACTTTAATTTTTACCTTCCCTTTTCATTCTTTTTTCAAAATTCCATTATCTTCCAAATTCAATCCTTTTCAACACCAAAAACTTACATAATATTGATTTTTTTTCTTCTCAAAGGTTAGCATATTTATCGATACATTTTAAATTTCTTTTATTTTTATTTGTATTGGGAATCAAATTCTTTCATTTCCAAAACAACCCTAACTACATTTGATCCGCTTTAGATTCTGATAATTCTTTATATTGTCAATCTCATTGCTAAAGTTAGGGTTGTTCATGGTATAATTCTTTTAGAGAACAAAACTGTACTGAATCGAACCATAACAAAAAATTATAAGAACTGAACTGAACCGTTTCATTTTGTTTAGAACCGAACTGAACCAAATTATTTGTACGGTGCACCGATTCTTAATTTTGAATTGTACCAAGTTGTTAGTAACTATTTCTTGTAAGAGAACCATTTTGTTGGCAGGAATGGGAAACATAGATAAATACATGAAGACAACTTATTTTACTGTAAATCCAAATGTCATTAAATTTTGACATAGTCTCTCCTTAACAAGTTTTTCAATGATTTGTTTGATATCTTTTCTACACTTTGACAAGATGACGAATTCAAATGTTTCAATATATGTTTTGTTACAACTTTATTAGGCTTTGGACTACAATTACTATCAACTAAATGTACAATGATTTTCAATTGATTATTCAAACTTCTCTGTACAATGATTTGCAGAGAATAATTGTGTTTTCAAATTCTGCTACTATTTGATGTTAGACGATGGCGCATATATAGAAGGGGGGTTGAATAGATCGATTGTTTAAAACAAAGTCGGCGCTATCAAAAAATTAGTTTTTAAAATTGTTTAAGGCGGAAGCGTCCGAGGAACTATATTCGTCTAAAACGAACCTTTACCGGAAAAACCGGATATGCGTAAAGCTTATGGAATTCGATAAAACGAGATTTGAGAATCACTAATTTGATTACACTTCAATTAGATTTTGTTCACTATAAGGTGTGACTAGTTCCAATACTTTTAAAATATATACAATTTGAAAAGACAGCACAATTGTTTTAAATTCACACAATTGGTGAAACACTTGGAGTGCAAGGCACTACAAGTGAATTTTACTATGAGAGTAAAGTGCTCAATTGTTATATTACAATCAAGGATTGTAACAAGCTTAAAAATAATTCAGCACTACTCAAATCAGAATTTGATTGACACAACTGTTTGCACTTAAAATTCATAATTTAAGCAATGTAAATGTAAAGAAAGACAAAACGATTTGTTGAGGCAGTTCCCCCGTCGTCCTCGCTCGGGGTACGTCTACCCTCAATTCTAACAATAGAATTGAGACATGTATACAGATAGATATAACTTGTTGGTGAATATTTACACAAGAAGCAAATAGAGATCAAACGATCGAACACAATTTGTTGATGTAGAATCTATTTCTTCTTGCCCCTTGATTCAAGTTGAATCAAGTCCTTTGAACGCGGTGAGTAAACCTCCGACTACGGCACGCCCTTTAAAAAACCCCACAGTCTTCAAATCTTACCCGGCTGATTTCAGTCACCCACGTGTCGAACCCAATTCTTCCACTCACAATCCTCTGGTTACCGCTACTAAACCGACAGAACCACCCGTTCTTCGATTACCTTCGCTTGGCTGAATTCGTGATGGACCGATTTGCATAAAACCTCTCAAAATCCAAGATCCATAGAGGACAAAACTCTAACGGTTTTATTCAAGAAAAATCTACTGATTACTCAACCCAAATCAAATTACACCAATCCTAATTTGGACGTTATCACCTCGAACATGCAGAATGCACAACAAAAATGATTTTGTGTAGTTGTTGTGAAAATCCTATGAAGAGGATGAAGATGATGAGAAAAAATCAGTATGTTATTTTCACTTTTCTTGTTTTTCTCAGTTGTAGTGAAAGGAAGAGCACAACTCACTTTATATACAAGACATAACTGACTTAACAAACATAACAAACACCAAGACTGTTTCACATAACATAATTTTGACTAAACATCCGCGAGTGGCTGACCTATGCAGAAGGAGGGTCGACCTGAGCTTACCCGTATTCCTGATTGAGCAAAAAATAGAACCTTGCATCGACCGGAGCAGGTCACGCGTGGACGCAAAGCATACAAATTTAGGCAAATACAAATGGTCACAATATGAGTCGACCAGAGGGTCGAGGCAAGCCCTCCTGAGAGTAGTTCATTAAAAAGGCTATCTATATGAGTTGACCGGAGCTAGCTTTGATTCGACTCAAAGCCCTGGAATAGGCAAAAATGCCTATTTTCATGTATCAAGACACTTTTGATGAACTCTATAATATGGTAAACTTGACTAGCTTGACCAATCCTACATGAAACATAGATTTAGCCATTTCTATATGCATCAATAATATTTTTGACGAGTGTTTAACTTAGGAGGGACAAGACATGCAAATGTGACACGATGATACCGTCCAAAGTACATTTTTCTATCAATCTAAGTTTTGACATCATTGAAACAAGTGCAGCTACCTATGAGGATTGCCCTCATATACTCCCCTTTTTTGTTGATGGAAAAACAATAGAAACTTGATGTACGATGCATTATATCATCCTCCCCCTTACTTGATGCCTTCGTCTATACACAATCTGCATGAATAATAAATCTTAGCATATGATGTTTCTGCTTTATATGCTTCTCCCCCTTTGACAACATCAAAAATAATGAAACAACCTGTCAATGAATTGTATAAAAGTAGAGAGATAAGCAAGTTCTAGACACTTGCAACAAGTTATACATTAACACACATTCACATATAATGTAGTTAATGAAATCATATAAATTGGATAAATAGAGCAAGGCGTATTAGAACAACAATAATAATCGCTATTTTAGTCATGAACAATAAACATGTCTTCAAATAGAAATAAGTACATGAACCATTCAACAAGAAATATTAATGAACATATGATGACATAAGATGAAAAATGCAATATGGAAGACATCTTCAGGGTCTCCTCCCCCTAAAATGATGGCCATGTCCTCGAGAGGGATACTCCGGAGGCAGTTGTGCATCAGCTCTTTCCGTGCACTCCAAGACCGCTCTATTGAATGTGTTGAAGCCAGTGGTAAGAGCCCTATGTTGACCTGCTGCTGTTTCAACAATCCCATCTATCCTCCTCATTACACCTGATGAAAAAGCATTGACGTTTTTCGTGTGAGCTTAAAATTGGCTCTACAATTGAGAGAACTGCTCATCCTGGGCAGTCATGAACAAATGTTGCTCAAGCTGCATAGTCCTTATCATGTCAAGGAGTTCATCGATATGTTATTGCAGATGCGGGGATGGTTGAGGCACATAGCTCCAGTCAGGAGTGTCTTGATGATCCCAATTCTGTTGTGGCATGTAGTTGGCACCTAACGATGTCCAGCCTGTATATTGCCAAGCACCACACCCTTGGTCATCCTCATGATCCAAGTGAGGTGATTAGTTTAGCCATCCACTATCATATTGATCATCAGTATCCATAGGATGTCCACCTACTTATTCTTCTTCTTCTTCTTCTGCTTCCTCGATATGGTCATCACTTTCATCTAATTCTTCCAACCGGGAGGTATTCGCCTTGACAATGAATCGATAATGGCTTTCTGTTCGATCCCATATATAGCCCGTCATGGTAAAAGTCTTTTGACAAAACTCTTGATCTGAGGTTAGTGATTTGTAAGGGATGCCTTGAACAATAATGTTGGCGTTGTTGAGAATTGATTGGATAAAGGACCCGTATGACATAACGGTCCCTCTACCGGAATCCTTCAGCGAATAAATATTACTAGCAATGTAGTGAGGCCAACTGATCTTGATCATTTTCTTCAAAATATAGATCAAGTGTACCTCAGCTTGATCCACGCGAGAATAGCCGCCTTTCTTTGGCCGCAGAATATGCGCCACAATCCATTGTAATATTCTATCCACCGATTTTAATTTTCCCATTGTGACTGTCTTTGGAAAGAGGTCGCTTGCTATAATATCATCAACATATGGTTTCTTCAGCATGGAGTTCAAAGAT